ACCATCCCGATGCCGTCCCAAAGCGAAGCCCATTGACAAAGGTACAAAGGAGGAGTTGAAGGTGGCAGGGAGAAGCGGGGGATGGCTGGCTGGCCGGTCGCTCAGCTCGCCTTGCCTTGTCATGCGTGCTGATGCCGGTACCGGGCCGCAGATCATTTTGTGATGCCAGTACCGGGCCGTGGCACAAAAAAGGTTGGGGGCCACTGCTTTAAGGGAGATAACTGGATGATAGAGAAAGAGGGTAAAAGTGTTACAGCTACTTTAGAGAATGATTTATATGTGACCAGTTGCAGATGGCTAACTCGGTTTATAACAATGTTAAGCCACATAATGAATGTATACATTTATTGCATATACATCTGGGGCACATTAATTTCAAAATACTGAAACAAACTGTTGAATTGTCAGAGGGAATAAAATTAAAACCTTGTAGCAAGTACTTAAACTGCAATGCCTGTAACCAGGAGAAATAGCAAGGTTATTCCAGCAAACAGACTAAATGGGTTTAAGACCAAAGAACCTTTAGAGGTTGTGTTTGCTGACATAATTGGTCCTAAGAAACCCAGTTTGGGAGGTGCCTGCTATGTTTTGAGTATAATGGACCATTACTCACGATACGGTTTCTGCTATCTAATGAAAAACAAAACAGAAACATTCCAACATTTCTTCAATTCACTAAGGTTTGCAGAAAGGAAAATGAAACATAAGGTAATTACTTTAGTTACAGATAATGGGACTGAGTTTGTTAACAAGAGATTCCAAACTATGTTAAAATTGGCTGGTATTGAACATAAGCGTTCTGCACCTTACAGACCACAACATAATTCGTTTATTGAACAAAGATGGCAAACGTTACAAGCCATGGCTCTCACTATGTTATCCGATTCAGATTTGCCTGAAACACTGTGTGGTGAAGCCATAATGTGTAGCAACCATGTGTTAAACAATGTGGTGAACCAGAACAACTGGTGAATTGCCATTCACTAGTTGGTATGGCAGAAAACCAAATTTAAGTTATCTACACACATTTGGAGCTCCAGCATGGGTGCATACTCCTTCACAAGTAAGTCTGTAAGGACAACATAGAGCTAGGAAATTATTTTTCGTAGGTTACGAGGCCAACCATAGATTGTTTAGATTTTGGGTTCCAGGCACAGCTAATATTTACTATAGCACTAGTGCTAAATTTCTTGAGCACATTGGGTGGAATAAACAGGAATCCAACAATGATGGTGTTATTGACACCCAAGTAGTCCCTAATGATGAGATAGTTAAACCATCAATAGCCATTAAAGAGGAAGAACAGGCACAGTTGGAGGTAGAAGAACAGGAGCAGGTGGAACAGGAGAGTCCACCAGTAAGCCCTGAGTTGCCTAGACATTCAACCCATGTAACACAACCACCAGATAGACATCAGACTAGTGTAGTATGCCAAATAAATATAGTTCCTACTAACTATAATGAGCTGAAACTGTATCCTGCTAAGGATCAGGCTGCTTGGCAGGAAGCAATGGATAAGGATCTGAAATCTTTACAAACTTTGGAGGTATATGGAAATGTCAGGTTACCACCAGGTGAGCATGCCATAGGGTGTAAGTGGATTTATAAAATTAAGACAGGTGTGGATGGGACTGTTACCCATAAAGCCAGGTTAGTAGCAGAAGGGTTCGATCAGCCAGCCAATGACTACGATGAGGTTTTTGCACCTAGTCTGAAGGCTACCGCATTATGAGCAGCATTAGTGTGGGCAGCTAAAAATAAATGCACAATAAACCATTTAGGTGTGGAGACGGCATATCTTCATGCACTGTTGCAACATACTATATATTTAAAGAAGCCTTTGGGGATAAAAACTGATAACAAAACTGATTGCTGGACATTAAAAAAGAATCTATTTGGCTTGAAGCAATCAGGCTATGAGTGGAACCAATGCATAGTGAAGGAATTAACAAAGATAGGTTTTGTAGCTGGCATGGCTGATCCATGTTTATTCAAAAAGGAAAGTGATGGTGTAATTTCATTGTTGCTATTGTTCACTGATGACATAGCATTAATCACTAAGACTGAAAAAGAAGCTACTGAGATTATCTCACTGTTAGAGAAGAAATTTAAAATATTTAGATGAGATTAAACAGTATCTTGGTTTGAAAATAGAGAAAACTAAAATCTCACAAGGAGATAAAATTAACCAGTTACTGAAGAACTTTAAAATGGAACTTTGTAAGCCGGCTAAGACACCAATGAGCCAGGAGTTTAGCCACAGTGATGTGCAAAGTCCTGTTTTTGATAAAGACATTTATCAATCTTTGATTGGTAGCTAATCTTATCTTATTAATTGGTCAAGGCCAGATATAGCATATAGTGTTAACGAATTAGCCAGGTTTGATGCTGAGCCTAATGAAAGCCACTGGCAAGCTGCTAAGCATGTGTTGAGATATCTTAAACAAACAATGCATTATGCGTTATATTTGGAGCCTAAGGATGAACTAAGTTTAACTGCATATGCCGATGCAAGTTTCGCTACAGACGTACCTACACGTAAATCAACGTCAGGTACTGTAGTGTTATTAGGAAAGGTATTAATTGGATGGTGGTCTATTCAACAGAAACATCTAAGCTTATCAACAATGGAGGCTGAATTCTCATGTTTGTCTCTATTATGTACGGATTTAGTTTGTTATAAACAACTATTGATAGATATGGGAATTAATGGAAAGGAACCTATAGTTGTATATGAAGATAAACAATCAGCAATTCAGATGGCTTCCAATCTTGCTGTAAAGACAAGATCAAGACACACCGATCTACGATATCTAAATGTGAGACCATGTGTTCAAAGTAAAATGATTATACTGGAGTACTGCATGTCAGAGAATAACATTGCAGATCATTTTACAAAAGTCCAAGGCACTGTAAAACATAAGGCTTACTGTGAGGAATATGGACTTAAACTGTAAGGTTGTCCTACCCAAAGGGGAGAATGTTAGGAATGATAGTCACCTAACAGTTGGGTTGGAAATATATAAACCAGGATAGTAATTTAATACTGTATCTTTAAGAGAATGCTGTAATTGTGATTGGCTGAGGTTCCTCCAATGGCCATAAGATGGAGCCAAAAACCTGGTTTCTTTCTCCTTGCATTTTCCTTGTTGTCTTTTGTCTGATCGTCGTTCTGCTCGGATTGCTGTGAGTTTTGCAACTGTTAGCAAACTCTATTTACTGAACTTTGTTTATGATACTTGACTTCGTTTTTGGATTATCCCTGGACTGATACTAACTGCTTTAACCATGTATGATTTGAACTGTTTGTTGGACTTTGTTTACCCGTTTACTGGAAGTAAAACCTACATTTTACTATTCAGTGTATCTGTATACTGGTCATGTGTTATTCAACATCACTCTCACTATGTTTCCCTGAGTGCACTCATTCTCCTAATGGGGAATACCTCAATTCTGGCTGGCTGGAGGGGAATGGAAGGATTTATACCCCTTGCAGACAGCTGGTCATTTGCAACCTTTTAGAGAGCCATTGAGGTAACCTGGACGTTTATCTCTGTCCTCAGGGTCACCTCAGCATTGCAAATGGGTGTGGGGCTACCTTAGAACTGCTGAAAGGACTGAGTTGTAGACTGGAGATAGATGTGGTCGTCTCCTTCCCCCTCAGTTGACAGAGGGCTGTTCAATTTGGCCAATTTGACCAGAAAGTCCAATTGCCTCTTGAAAAAGCACCTTTGGGATTGAAACCACAAGACCCTGGTACCAATCCGTGCTAATGTGCCATCGTCCAATTGACTGTTATCACTTGGGAGAGAAAAGGCAGGTCTTTTTAAGACTTCAGGAAAGTTAAAAGGATGGAGGCATGCCAAACTTCAGGGAGCTAAGATGCTTGATAGGGAACAAGGCTACCACAGTCTGCTTCCTAGACCCCCATCATATGGCAGTGTTCTGTCTCACCTGTGACCACGAGGCAAGAGTCCAAGCCTCCAAAGGAATATAAATAAACAGACAGGACCAGGAACAATAGTGTTAAATTCCTTTGACTGGAAAAGTCCTTGGCAGTCTTTCAGAAGCTGCCTCCCAAGTCCGATAATAAACAAGACCGTAAATCAAAAGGCAAACACCACACAGAGAATTTGTCAAGCTACTATTCTGAATAAACAAATTGTCCCGAACGAGTATTCAGAGCTAACATGCCTTCTTTTATTTCCTGAGGGGCGTGTCAGTCTCTCAAGTCAGTTCCTGATCTGACATTTCCTTTTACGTTGCATTTCCCTCTTCTGCCTGCGTCTTTGCCTTGCATCAAACCAGCATTCCTCGGCTTGATCCTCAGCCAAGGACTCCGGCACGCTCTCCTGATTGTCTGCCGACACCTGAGGCACAACCAGGGAGGAAGGTCCCAGGGAGGGAGATGATTCCGAATCCTCCAGCAACGCAGGCTCAAACCTCAGAGCCAAGTCCTCCTCTTCCTCCTGGCTCAAGTCTGTGTCTTCCAGCAAGGCAGGCTCAAATCTCGATGCCAAATCCCTCTCTCCCTCATTACTTAAGTCTGTATCTTCTAACAGGGCAGGTTCAGACCTCCGAGTCACAACATGGCAGTATTTGGGGGAAAAGGGACAAGGAGCGTGCCTCACCCTATCTTACCTGAAAGGACAGATTAGGCAAATGTGAGCCTCAGGTAGCCAGGCCTCCTGCTTTGTAGGGCTTGAATTGTACCTGGAAAGAAACAGGAAAACAGTGCCACTCTTTCCCATTCTATAGGTATCCATTAATAGCAGGGCTCTTTCAATCTGGCCACTTTTAAAAATACTGGTGGACTTCCAACTCCCAGAATCCCCCAGCCCCGTTGCATCATCTGGGGAAAGAATTCTGGGAGTCAAAGTCCACCAGTCTTTTAAAAGTGGCCCAATTTGGAGAGTCCTGACATATGGGCGGGTTTTTTTTTGTCTTTCTGAAACATTGGGATAGGTCTAACTCTTCCCTTCTCCCCTTCTCAATAGAGGTGAACCTGCAGAAAACCTCCCAGCCCTGATGGAGAAAAAACACTCGCTCTTGGAAGAGAATGAAAAACTCAGCCGTGGCTTGAGCGAAGCGGTTGATCAGATTGCTCAGATGTTGGAGAGGGTCATCATGGTAAGGCCCACAGCTACCAGAAGTGCTGCTTGTCCCATGCTCTGGGGGAAAGTTCCTGCTAAAGGACGCCCCCACCAAAGAGGAATTCACATTCTCCTTTGGTGAAAAAAATGTAGCACAATTCAGATATTAAGTTTTCCCTTCCTGTATTTGGAATGTGTTTTCAAGAGACGGGGAGATGAAGAAAAATAATACTGCTAGTCCTCAAGTTACATTAGTTTCCTTAGACCACACCTAGAATACTCCACACCTAGAGTACTGCATCCAGTTTTGGTCACCACACTATAAAAAAGATGTTGAGACTCCAGAAAGAGTGCAGAGAAGAGCAACCAGGATGATGAGGGGACTGGAGGCACCAGAATATAAACTGACAGCAAACAACACTCCTTACTAACACTGATGATGTTACCTAATTGGGTCATGAAATGTCTGCAAGAAAACAAGCTGAGCATGGCTAGTCTAGGGAAGAGAAGGGCAAGGGGAGACATGAGAGCAGTCTTCTAATGTTTGAGGGGCTGCCCCCAGAGAGGAGGGGAACAACCTGTTTTCCAAAGTGCCCGAAGGCCAGACAAGGAATAATGGATAGAAACTGAACCAGGAGAGATTCAACCCAGAAATAAGGAGAAACTTTCTGACAGTGAGAACAATCAACCAATGGAATAGAAATTGCCTTCGGAAGTTGTGGAAGCTTCATCCCTGGAGGCTTTCAAGAAGAGACTGGACTGCCCATCTGTCACAAATGGTGTAATGTCTCCTGCTTGAGCGGGGGGGGGGGGTGGACTAGATGACCTACAAGGTCCCTTCCAACTCTGTTAATCTAATCTAGTGACCATTCGAAGTTAAAAATGGCACACAAAAAAGTGACTTATGGCCCTTTTTCAGACTTAGGACCGTGGCAGCATCCCCATGGTCACGTGTTTTACATTTGGATGCTTATGACGGTCACACTGTCCCGGGGGTCACGTGATCCCCTTGTGCGACCATCAGACAAAGCCAACGGGGAAGCCGGATTTGCTTAACCGTGTGATTAATTTAACAACCGCGGTGATTCACTTAACAAACGGGGCGAGGAAAGTCATAAAATGGTGGCAAAAACCACACATTTCTCATTTAGCAACATACATTTTGGGCTCAATTATGGTTGTAAATTTAGGACTACCTATACAGGGCCCCTCTTAACTAACACCATAGAAACTCTCATAATCAGAAGCCTTTTCCCATTTCCGCAGATGGAACAGCAGAACGAGAGGATTACCCTAAAGCTGGAAGAGCTCTGAGAACCCGCAGTGTAAGTAGCTCCTTCATGCACCTGTTTAGCGACTGTTTGCTGCATGGGATCCACCGCTCCATCAGAAATATGGAAAGGGAGCTCAATACAGGGTCGCCCTTCTTTAGCGACCATTCAAAGCTACGGAGGCACTGAAAAAAAAGGGACTTAAGGACTGGCCCTCCCCTTACAACGAGAGTGTCGCAGCATTCCCTCATGGTCACCTGATCAAAAGGTCACCTGGTTGCCGTTTGAGAGTGTCATGCCCCTGTGGAGGAAACTGGGGAAGGGCAAAGTCCAGCTGGGCAGAGCAGGAGAGAGGGAGAACAAGGGAGAGGGAGTTCAGAGGAAGACCCAGGCCCACCCCCTCTTCATCCTAGGGCATGCAGGGAGGAACGGAGAAGAGAGCAACATGGGTTACGTGGCTTACGGGGGAGGAAAGGGCCCTGATTCCCTTCATTAGCCACAGCTTGGAAGACAGTTGATAAGAAAGGCAGACTGCCGTGTGAGTTTTGCCATGCCTTCAAGTCTGAAATTCTTGCTCCTGCCCTGCCAAACTAATTACTTCAGTTTGGCTTGTTTTGACTTTAAGTTACAGTTTGTGTTGACCATGTTTTGGACTGAATTTTCTGCAGTCAAAGGCTGTTCCTGGGAGAGTTTTTCTCCAGCCGGAAGGTAACTTGGACATTGGGGGCAAAGTTGGAGGTAATAAAGGGACTTCTATTGATTATCTGACTGTGTTGCCTTTATGACATGCCCTGGGTCATCACAGAGACCATCCCAACAAGCGAAGCCCACGGGGGAAGCCGAATTCGCTTAATGACTGCATAATTCACCAAACAACCACAGCGATTCGCTTAACCACCCTGGGTGAAAAGTAAAATTGGGTGTGTCTCACTTAAGCGCCGCCATGCTTAGCAACATGGGAACTTGTGCTCCCAATTTGGGGTTGTAAGTCAAGGATCACTTGTATTTTTTCAACGTGGGGAACTTTTAAGATGGGTGGATTTCTCCATTAAAACGTTATTTATCAAAGTATAAAATACAATGGAAAAGTAAGAAGGGAGGAAGGGAAAAAGAGGAAGTATAGTGTCATGGAAGGAAAAAAAAAAGGAAAAAAGGCACCAACTTCCGAAACTCTTTGGCAAAGTTAAATGTTAATATGCTGGCTGGGGAATTCTGGGAGTCGAAGTCCACCCATCTTAAAAGTGAACAAAGTCAAAAAATACTGGTTTAGACAAAGAGGGAAAAGAAATCCGGGATCACAGGCTACCAGCCAACCAAATATTCAATTTTAAGGGAGCAACACTGAGTATGTAAGATTAGAACTAAGGACAAATTTCCTGACAGGAAGAACAATTAATTAGTGGAACGGCAGTCGTAGATGCTCCAACATTGGAGGTTTTTAAGAAGAGATTGGACAACTGTTTGTCTGGGATATGGTGTAAGGTTTCCTGCCTTGAGCAAGAGGGTTGGACTAGAACACCTCTGAGGTCCCTCCCAGCCCTATGGTTCTATTTCATCTTGAAATTTCAGGTTACAACTGGACCTGGAGAAGCTGCTGACATCTGTGGAGGACGAAGAACTGAAAGAACAGCTGGAACTATTTATCCGGTTGCAACAAATTATCGCTCAGCTGCTGGTGAGGATTATCCACCCAAAATCACTGGTCTCTTTTTAAGGGAACCCAGCTGTCGGCAGCCTCAATTTCCCAAACTGTTCTTAGAGAGGTTCGACCTGAAAAATAACCTCCTTTTATTTTATTTTGAGCCACATTGCTAGTTTGGAGTCTTAAAAGAGGATAAGGTTCCATGAATGTTGAAGTGTGCTGTTCTGTACACCGAAACTCTGGTCCAGTCCATCATTCAATTCTCACCGTTGTGATTGAGGCACATAAGTCTGTTATCTTCTCTCTCTCTCTCTCTCTCTCTCTCTCTCTCTCTCTCTCCCATTAATATTTTTATTGAGTTCTAAGATAAAATAAGATATAAAATAGGAAAGAAAATAGGAAAACAATGGGAGGAGAAAGGGGGTGGGAAGAAAAGTCAAGAAAAAAAATTGCAATCTACACACACGTGTGTGTTCTGTAAAAATGCATCCATTGTTGTTTTCTCTCTCTCTCACTCCATCCTTCCCTCCTAAAATTGTATTTTTTGTCTGTGTTTTCTGCAGAAAGAAAATCCTCCTGCTGTAGTTGGCATGGACGTAACAGAACAGCATTCCGATTCTGTAAGTACAGGTGGTTCTCAACTTTTGCAACCAGATGTTTTCACAAACATTCGCAGTGGCGATAAATGCTTTGCGACCCATGAAGCATTTCTGTCTGTCATAAAATGCCTCTCTCCTTTATGGTCACATGACTGCATTTGGTTATTCTTGGCCACTGGTTTTCCTTTACCGCCAGTTCGAGCATGCTAAAACATACACAGAGGCAAAAACGTTATAAGGAATGGTTGCTGGAATTGGGTAGGTCTACTTAAATGAAAAGAAGGACTAGGGGTGATGTGGTAGCAGTCTTCCAATATTTGAGGGGCTGCCCCAAAGAAGAGGGGGGTCAACCTATTCTCCAAAGCACCTGTGGACAAGATAAGAAGTAACGAATGGAAACTCATCAAGGAGAGAAACAACCTGGAATTAAGGATAGGTTTTTTGACAGAACAATTAATCAGTGGAACAACCTGCCACTAGAAGTTGTGGGTGATCCAACACGGGCAGTTTTTAAAAAGAGATTGGACAACCATTTGTCTGAAATGGTATAAGGCTTCCTGCCTAAGCAGGGGGTTGGACTAGAAGACCTCCAAGGTCCCTTCCAACTCTGTTACTCTATTCTGTTCTATTCTATTCTACTACTGTTCTATTCTCTATTCTATTCTACTCTTACTCTATTCTAGTCTCTGTTCTATTTTATTCTATTCTATTTCATTCTATTCTATTCATGCTGCAGTTTGGAGGATTCTGGGAACTGAAGCCCACCCATGTTAAAAGTGGCCAAGCACTGTAAAGTGGTATATAAGTCTAAGTGCAGCTGTTCTGGTTGAGAAACTGCATAACAATGTAAAAGCTCTTAATCATCTCCCATGTCTTCTCTCTCCAGACGTCCTCGGTAAACCTGGAGGCCCCCCAGTCTTCAGACAACTACGCCGCTCAGCATGCCCTCCAGCAAGCTCAGATGTCCAAGGAGCTGCTGGAACTCAACCAAGCCCTTGCTCTGAAGGAGGCCCTGGCTCAGAAGCTCTCCCAGAGCGACCGCCAGCTGGAACCCATCCAATACCAATCACAGGTAAGCTTGCACCATGGTTAGAATGCAGCCCTGCAGGCTACTTCTGTGGACTGCTGGCTGCCTGCAATTTAGCAGTTCGAATCTCACCAGGCTCAAGGTTGACCCAGCCTTCCATCCATCCTTACGAGGTCAGTAAAATGAGGACCCAGATTGTTGGGGCTGACTCTGTAAACCGCTTAGAGAACTACCAACCCTCTCCACCTCCTCACCATTTACGTACAATGGTAAATGTAAAAGGTGTGAGAAGATGTGCTGAGTAACGCAGATCGAAAGGAATTGTGACTTCCGAGCAATTGGACGTTCTTCTATTGATGCATCAGAACATTTCATTTCATGCCTTTGTAAGCAGTTTCTTCGCCCTGCTATGCTCATGTTCAGCTTGTGATCCATTTCCTGGCCTTTTTCCAGCTTACCTACTCAAGGTGGGTTTCCAGCCCCTTTGTGTTTGATTTCTTATGATGTGGAATTTAAACAGGACAATACAGGAAGTCCTCGATTTGCCACATCACATGATTGCTGCAACATTCCCGCATGGTCACAGGATCAAAATTCAAGACACTTGGCAACTGGCTCCTATTTATGATGGTCACAGTGTCCCTCTGGCTTCACGCGATCCCCTTTTGAAACCTTCTGACAAGCAATGGGGAAGCCCAGATTCGCTTAACAACTGTGTGACGAACTTCACAACTGCTGTGATCCACTTATACTACTGTGGCAAGGAAGGTTGTAAAATGGGGGCGAAACTCACTTAACAATTCTCTCGCTGAGTGACAAAATTTTGGGGCTTAATTGTGGTCATAAGTCGAGGACTATCGGTACATGGAGTTCCCCCTAACCAGTTTGCTCTGATTGAAGAAGCTACTTGGATAAAAGCAGCCAAAGACAAGAAATCCATTCCTTTCGTGTTTCTCTCTTGCTCACATGCTCCCACTCTTCCCAAGAACTGGTTTTTCTTACAAAAGTCCCCTTGGAACATGACTTATAACAGGGGTCGCCAACTGATGGACTGTGGCCCACTGGTGGTCCATGATAAAATTTTGGCGGGCCACAGAGAAATGTTCCCCCCAAAGCACCCCCCCCAAAGCAATTAATCCAGGCTGCGCACCCACATGACCCACCCACCTGCTGGCCCCCACCCTTCGGACAAATGCAAACCTGCAAAAAGCAATGCATCCCTCACCGGCCAGGACGAGGTAATGGTGCTGTTGCATCAAGAGGGGGCTGGCAGCACAGGCAGGCTGAGCAGCGATGGAGATGGCTGGAAGGTGGAGGAACGCCACACTACTTACATTTGCGCAGCACTCCCGCACCTTCCAGCTTGACTCTCCTGGCCTTGGATCTTCCTCAATGGGCGCAGCCTGAAGGGACAGCCCGGGGCAGGAAAAGTACCAGCTGGTGGTGGTGGGAGGGGGCAGAGTGGGCAAGTCTGCGCTCACCATCCAGAGGTCCAGAATGGGGCATCGTCAGTTTTCTCGTCCCTCTTGGTGCTCTGCTCTGCTGCCCCACTCCCCACCCAGCCCCAGTCATTGCTGCCCAGGGAAAGCACAGGAAAAGCAAGCAGAAACATAGCTCTCACTGGAGAGAAAGCGGAGATTGAGGAAGGCACAGGCAACAGAAGACGGAAGCTGCCACCTTTGCAAAGCACCACTTTCTGTTGCCTGTGCCTTCCTCGATCTCCGCTCTCTCCCCAGCGAGAGCTATGTTTCTGCTCGCTTTTTCTTTTCTGGCGCGGGGCGGGGGCAGCAGAGATGTTAGGGCTGCTCTCCCCCCTCAGCAAGCCAGGCCTGGAGAAAGACGAAGAATTGTGGGTGAGCGCTGGAGAAATGCGTGTTGGAAATGCCAACACACATTTCCAGCTCTCTCTCCTCTGTCCCCAAGTAGGATTGAGTGGGGGGAAGGGAGCAGGAGGAAGGGTAGTGTTAGGAATGTGAGTCACCTAACAGCTATTTGGGATGGAAATATATAAACCAGGATAGACATTTTAATACTGTCTCTTTAAGAGAATCCTAAAACTGTAATTGGGTGTGGTTTCTCAAATGACCATAAGATGGAGCCAGAAACCTGGGTTGTTTAGTCTTAGTCTTCATCTCAGAAGAGAGTGTGTCTCAGTGAGTCTCTGTTTTTCTTCTGTTGGAGAGTATTGCCATTCCTCCATTTTTCCTAATTGACTGATATTCATGGATTTGATGTAAGTCTGATACTGAACTGTTTTTGATACTGGACTTTGTTATTGGATTATCCCTGGACTAAAAACTGACTGATCTTACCTGTGAATGACTTTGGACTGTGTTTGAACTTTGCTTAAACCTTTCTGCAAGTAAAAACCTACATTTACTGTACAGTGTATCTGTGTGCTGTGTGTATTATTCAAACACTACTTTCAATACGTCTCCCTGTATGCACTCATTCTCCTAACGGGGAATTACCTCAACAGGTAGGAGGGAAGGAGAAGCCTGGCTGGCTTTCCTTTGGCATGGGGAGACCAAATGCGCAGACCAAAAGAGCGCTTAGGAAGACAGGCTCCTAATAACCAGCCTGTTTGTGCAGGCGAGAGCTCGGGTTTTCTGGGCTTGACCCCCACCCTTCGGCCTCCACACAGGGAGGGACCCTTCTCTGCCAAAGGGGCACGTGTTGCCTGGTTATTAGGAGACTGTCTTCCTCGGCGCTTCCAGCCTGGCCCTCCTTCCCTCCTTCAACTCCAGGCAGCCACACCTGGCAAAGGAGGGAGAGGTTTCCTCTGACTTGGGGGAGATATGAAATGACAGGATACAAGATTGGAGGGGGGGCTCTGCTTTCCTTCTGTTTGAGGGGGAGCCGGTTCCTCCCCATCCAGATCTTTCCAGCCTCCAGGCACCATGTGGCTTCTTTTGAATCCGAGCAGTATTAAATCCTCTTTCCCCCCAAAGGATGAGAGAGGCCACTCCTTTCCCTTCACTCTGCCCCAGTGTTATGATTAAGCATTTACGATTTTGTTATAATTAAATAAGCATATATATACTGTATATATATGTATAACTTTTTTAAATATTAAATTTATATGTAATATAAAAAATAAAAATGTTATATTAAATACATTATCTTTTTAAAAAATTTGTATTAGTGGTCCTTGGGATTTAAAAGTATGAGTTTGGTGGTCCCTGAGGTCCAAAAGATTGGCGACCCCTGACTTATAAGAATCACAAGAAACCTCTTGTCAGCTTGCAAGTGTTCTGACCCAGCTCCCCAAACACGACAAACCCTCTGTAGTTAAATCAATGATTCCTTTATTAGGAGCGCCAGCAGCCCCAGAAAAAAGTTTCTCTTTCAACACAAACTAACAATTCTGTCCAGCAAGGAGATGAATAGTTGTCTGCCACATCTATTCATCTCTGCCCCCTGCCTTTTATCCCTAGAGCTAGGGTGGGGCTTCGCTAGAAGCGGTGGCTCTTCTGTCCCAAGGAATGGCCCATAGATTTCCACTGCTCTCCTCTGCCTTCTGACCATCCATGTGTCAGGCACTGGACCCAGCTGTTCCACTTCTTCCTCCTCAGCCACCTCTAGACCTGGGGGCTGTTGACTCTACATCTGAGGGCTGACGGACAGCCCAGGCTCCGCCTCTGTCTCTTATCTCTCTGCCAGCTCCACTCCCTCTTCCCCCTCGGAGCTCTCAGGTTGCCTTGATGCTGACCCTGACTCCCATGCTGCCTCTTTCTCCCCTGATTAGGTTTTTGGAGGGGCTGGCGACCAAGAGGCCACAACAGCAAGAGGCATTAAGCAGAAAAGTTGAGTGAAGCTGTTTGGTCAGAGGAAATGACCCTTTGTGGCATCTGGGCAGTTGAAAAACCTGCCCCCAAGATGCCAAGTTGCCTTTTTTTTCCTTTTGACAAGAACAACATCCAGAACCTGGAAGGGGAGGTGGCCAAGCTGCAGAAAGAGAAGGAAGATTTGATCCTCACCGTTCAGATGACCAAGAAAGACGTCACCCAAGCCAAGTAAGAAACGCGGGTGCCTGGGCTTACCCCTCTTGGGGAAGGGTCTCTAAATGAGGTTTGCTGGACTCAGAACGTCTGTCTCCAATCTCCTTTCAGCCTGAGCGAGCATTGCCGGAAACGTCTGCAGGAGCTGGAAGGGGAGATCAGCGAGCTAAAGAAGAAGCTGAAGGAACAATCCAAGCTGCTGAAAATGAAAGAATCCAGCGAGCAGGCCATCTCCAAACTCTACCAAGAGATCCGGGTAAACAATATTTGTTAATTTGTTTCCTCCAATTTTCCCCACAACAACAACCCTGTGAGGTGGGTTACGCTGAGAGAGAGAGAAACTGGCCCCAATGTCACCCAGCTTGCTTTCATTCATAAGGCAGGACTAGAACTCACAGGCTCCTGGTGATTGGCCCAAAGTCATCCAGCCAGCTTTCATGTCTAAGGTGGTACTAGAACTCACAAGTTCCTGGTGATTGGCCCAAAGTCACCCAGCTGAATGTGCCTTGGAATATTAAGAAAAGCAAATACATCGATGTATATAGTACACATATTTGAGTGTCTGTGACAGACTGAAATTTGGAAGCTTGTTCCTTTACTTATAGAAGATGAAGACGGCTAGTGATGTAATCCATCCATTCCTGAAGGTTGTTGGTAAAAACGTGAGGCATTTTATTTTTACCGACAAAATGCCTCACATTTGCCTGTCGCCTTTATAAGAGTGATTTCCTCAATTTCAACTAAAACTCTGTATGAACCCTTCCCACACTCTCTTTCTTAAAAAAAACCTGTTTTGCTCCTTGTTCGACTTGTAGGCCATGAAAAATCAATGGGTTCAGCTGATTCGGGAGATGAAAGAAGATGCTGAGAAATTCCGACAGTGGAAGCAGCAGAAGGACAAGGAAGTCATCCAGCTAAAGGCCCAGGTGAGCTGGGTGCTTGGTCGTTCTCACACGAAAGCATCTTCCTTACCATCAGCTGTCCTAGCACTGAAAGTGACCATCTCCTCTCTCTGAAATGTAGACTTCAGTCCTCCTTGACCACTGTTGGTCAACCTTAGCTTTTTTAATAGCAATAGCATTTAGACTTATAGTATAGCGTTTCACAGTGCTTTTACAGCCCTCCCTAAGCAGTTTACAGAGTCAGTCTATTGCCCCCAACAATCTAGGTCCTCATTTTACCCACCTCGGAAGGATGAACAACAATGTGATGTCCCAGGGCATGGCACAAAGGCAACACAGTCAGATAATCAGTAGGAATCCCTTTATTAGCTCCAGCTTTGCCCCCAATGTCCTGGTTACCTTCTGGCTGGAGAAAAACTCTCCCAGGAATAACCATTGGCTGCAGAGAATCAAGTCCAAAACATGGTCAACAACAACTGTAACTATAAGTCCAATCAAGGCAAAATGAGGTCATTAGTCCAGCAGGGCAAGAGAAGGAATTCCAGACATGAAGGAACGGCAATAATTCAACCTGGTTGGGAGGATGCCAGGAATGCAGATAACCAAAGTCAACACAAGATAAACTCATGTTTGTTCCCAGCAGCCACCTCACTCAGCTTGCATCTCTTTTAAACTCTCATTCCCAGGTGTGGCTAATGAAGGGAATCAAGACCCTTTCCTCCCCCATAAGCGGCGCAACCCATGTTGCTCTCTTCTCTGTTCCTCCCTGCGTGCCCTAGGTTGAAGAGGAGGTGGGCCTGGGTCTTCCTCCGAACCCCCTCTCCCTTGTTCTCCCTCTTCCCTGCTCTGCCCAGCCAGACTTTGCCCTTCCCCAGTTTCCTCCACAGCCAATGGAGCCACACTCCCACTCCCTGTCAGCTGTTCGTCTTCCTCCTCAGATTCATACTCCAACAGGGGCATGACAGACTGAGTCAACCTTGATCCAATGAGACTTGAACTGCTGGCAATTGGCAGTCAACATAATTAGCCTGCGGTACTGCATTCTAACCACTGTGCCACCACGGGGCTTAAATCATTGGGATTGAAGATGGGTGGACTTAACCTCCCTGAATTCCTTGCCACTAATGCATTGTTTTCACAGGTATGCCCATTGTGGCCTGCTTACTCTCTTATAATCCCTTCCTCTGCAATCTCTCTGGAGTAGGAGAAAAAGAAAATAGGTGTGGCTGGCTGGGGAATTCTGGGAATTGAAGTCCACCCATCTTAAAGCGGCCAAGGTTGACTGTCTCAGACCACAGCACATGGCCCACTTGCCAGAACACTGATCCACCCTATGTAAATAATACAACAGATCGGCTTTCCCCAGTAGGTCACCCTGGATGCCCGCCACATGTAGATCAAGACTACTATTCCCATAATGGCCAAAGAGGTAGGGAATTCTGGGAGTTCCCTTGTAGCTCACCTGGATAGCCCTACATCAGGATGGATTTGAACTCTTGATGGAATATAAATGGCCTTAAAGTTGAGCCCCCATCTCAGCTGAACAGACCAAGAAGCTTTGTGGCGATCCATTCGCCTTTTCCTCCTCTTTCTGTTTGGACAGCCTGCAACTTTTCTACTCTTGTCTTGTTCCTCAGGATCGCAAGCAGTAGTATGAACTGGTCAAGCTGGAGCAGGATTTCCAGAAACAGGCCACGGTCCTCCAACAGAAAGCAAAAGAAGTGAGGGGGTCACGAACACTCTATCCTTTCCTCCTTTAGAAGTCCCTGGGTTTCCCCTTAAAGCCGTGATGTCGAACCTATGGCACGCAGAGCCATTTACCTGCACTTACCTGCACTTACCTGCACTGCACATGTGTGTGCCTCCCAGCTGGTTTTTGGCCCGTTTGAGGCCTTTTTCGGCCTCCAAAGGCTGCAGAGGTTTCCCTCGAGCCTCTGGGTGGCAGAAAAAGGCCTCAAACTGGCCAAAATTCAGCTGGGAGGTGCGTGCATGCACAGTGCAGGTAAGGGGGGGGGGGTTTGCACGTGCATCCACGGGGGGCAGGGTACATTGCATTGTGGGTGCCTGTGTGCGTGCTTTCAGCATACCACAACAAAAAGGTTCACCATCACTAGCTTAAAGTAATCATGCTAATCCAGGGACTCCTCGGTTTACAACCTTTCGTGATTGACCAAAGTTACAATGGAAGTGAAAAAAAGTGACTTAGGGCTGTTTTTCACACTTCGCGTCTGTAGCAGCATTCCCATGGTCACATCATGATCACAATTCAGATGCTTGGCAACTGACTCATACTTATGATGGTTGCAGTGTCCTGGGGTCAGGTGATCCCCCTTTACGACCTTCTGACCAGTGAACTTAGAATCACTTAACAACTGCATGACTCACTTATAACAACTGCAGTGACTCACTTAGCAAGAAAGGTTGTGAAATGGGGCAGAATTCACTTCACAAATGTCTCCCTTAGCAACAAAAAATGCTGGGCTCCATTGTGGTTGTAAGTCAAGGACTAGCTGTATTTTTGTTTTGGGCCAAAACATACCCTAACAAACAATGGGTTTGCTTAATGACTGTGGTGTTCACTTAACCACTTCGACACTCGCTTCACAACCCTCAAAAAAAAAAAGGATCACAAAATTGTGTGGGTCAAGTGGGTGGCCTGCTTCGCAATCATAATGGGCAGGCTTCATTCGGTCGTAAATCGAAGACAATCTGTCCGACTCTTGGCATTACAGATAATCCGAATAGATCTGGAAGGGACCTTGGAAGTCTTCTAGTCCAGTGGTTGCCAACTGCTGGTCCGTGGCCCACTGGTGGTCTGTGAGAAAATTTTGGTGGTCCGCAGAGAAATGTCACCCCCAGAGCAACCCCCAAAGCAATTAATCCAGGCTGTGCGGGAACACAAGGCTGCGCTGCCCACATGTCCCGCAGAAACCCTTGCCGTCCACTCACGCCTTACCTGGCAAACTTGCCTGCTAAGTTGCTATTTTTCTTTTTTTTTTCTCTGACCATCAGCTGTTCTGCTGTGCGGGAGATTTAGATTAGCTAGAAAGCAGGAAATCATTGGATGCCTAATTTTGGGTAAAAGTTGCTCTTTTTTATATAAAAAAATTCAATATTTACATACATGGTGTGTTGTGAGTTAATTTTGTGAGTTTGCTTGCAAGCAAACTCATAACATTTGCTAGCAAGCAAACTCACAAAATTAACTC